TTCCGCCAGTATTGAGTGCACACATAACCTTCAAATTGTTTTCATTCTAAAAGTAAAGAAAGAACAACAAAAAATGCCTCTTAAAAAACGCACCAAGAAGACTAAACAACCATAACAAAGTCATAAAAAATATAATATTATTATAATAAAAAAAAGTAATAGTAATTATCACAAAATTAGTTTTATATAAAAGTTTGTTATTAAAAACTTATCTCAAAAATTGCCTAGTCATATATTCTGTTAAAAGTGTGAGAAGTACTTATAAATGAATCTCAAATGTTTATTTGATTACATACAAATATTTTTTTACATCATGGACAGGGTCCATAATTGGGGGGTCCACATTATGGGCAGGGTCCGTAATAGGGGGGTCCACGATAGGTTCAAAGTCCATCGAGGGGGTCCGTAATACGGACAAAATTTTTTTTTCTTGTTTCATCATTAAAATAAAAATAACAAAACTTTTTGATAAAAAAAAAAATTTGATGTTGTTAAAAAAGAATCAAACTACTTATACGTTATTATACAAGGTGTATTTCTATTGACCGTTAGACACAAAATAAAGTTGAGCTCGAAATTTTTCTTAAAGGGTCCATAATTGGGACAGATACCCCTATATACTTTTTTTTTTTTAATATTATAGTGCTCTACGTCCTGCTCCTTTAATAAGGGCACTACTATTGGGCACTTAGCACTTTGGAGAAGGAAGGGAAGAGGGATGGGAGGCCTCCCAGTACTGGGAGGGGGGTAGGGGGAATTAGGCAATTATGCTGTGAGGGGGTCGCCTACACCCTCCTCGAGGAGCATTGCGTGGTAAAAAATCACAAAGGTACTTGCCCGAAAGTCGCACTGGCCGGGAATCGAACCACGGTCTCCCGCGTGCCAATCCACGACCTAGCCGACTGAGCCACCGCGCGCTCTATAATATATACTTACTTACTTCATATTGGTACGGAAATATATATATATATATATATATATATGTATCATAAACATTATANTATTAGGGCAAACAAGTAGCATATAGATACTGTGGACCTTGCAGGACACTCCGTTGGCGCAGATGATGCGGTGAGGGGATAAAAGGACGCGCTCGCGTGAGAGTTAAGCAGCAGAGTGTGCGGTCGCACACTGGAAATAGTCAACCCACATCTGCGAATAAGCGCCAAAAGAACACACGTTGCGGGGCGCGAAAGAAACGAGGAAATAAGCTAAGCTGACGGCGTTCCAGGCCGGGAGAAAGAACCAGTTGGGCTATCATCAGAGCAATGGGAGCGGTTGTGCGTGGCGGAGGTACCAAGCCCATCAGGAAAATACCCGGGAATCCGTGCGATTTTAATGCCCCCGGCGTCTCATCATTTTTATATATACAAAGTCCCGAGGAGGATTAGGGAGGAAAGAGGAAGGGAGTCATTGCGCGCAAGATTTTTTGCCCGCCATCCACTGTTACGTGAACGCGCGCCCACCCGCGCGTGCGTGAGTGCATATTATGTTCGTGTGTGGCGCGTCCGGCCGATGAAGCCCCGCAAAGACTGCATGAGCAAATTTTTGGCATAGTCTCCGTATGGGTGCATTGTATGCTCGTGTATACCTTGTCTTGTATACTCGTATCATACGCCCGCTTAAGACCGTATGCGGAAAGAAGATTGCGAAATTCTGAGCGGTGCCGTTTTTCACCGTTGGAATGCGAGACGCGCTACAAAGTGCTCTTGTTATAATGGTCCCTTGGTGTATTTTTGCCGACTTCTTTTTTCCCTCGCCTCGAATTTTTCGCTGATGCTACCGTGGATCGACGACAGTCATTCGAACACACAGCGCGCCTTTCCAAACGATTTCTCGTCGGATGGCCAATTATGTGCCGGTGCAATTTTAATTTCTCGAATGTCAAAAGACCGCCTGCGTAATCAGTTTTAATTTGCTTTTTAATTAAAAGTCCATTACACGAATTTGTCAGCTCGATCTCTCTCTGTGTGTGTGTGTGTGTGTGTGTGTGTGTGTGTGTGTGTATACTCGATTGGAAAAAATAGTCCCTCGTGCATAGTTATGCCACTATAAGTACAATTAAATTCGTTAATCGTAAGAACTGATGTGCCCACTTATTTTGTTAAAAGTAAATGGAATGTAAAATAAAAAAATTGAAACTTGGCTAGATGTTATCCCAAAAATAATGTAAAATACTGTCTCATGATGCAAACTCTATGTCGTCATATTCAAATCACTTAAATTGTAGGTAGGATTTGTAGAGAAAACAAAGTCCAAATTCTTTTGTAAACTATTGAAATATATAAACTTCTTGTCGTATAAAAAAAAGTATTAATAAGTCATTAACAATAGATTTGTGTATTTTTTATAACTTTCAGGCAAATTTTTTTTTCGCAAAAGAGCGTACCTGCACAATTGACATAGAAATATTACATTTTGAACAATTTTGATCTTTAATAATCATAATTTATTCACACATTTATAAAATAATTTTCTTAAAAATAAAACTTTAAATCGTGTCTACAATCCGATTTAAGAATGCAGAGTGCAGTTTACACCTCTAAAGTAGTTTTTACATACTAATATACAATCTCATGCACCAAAAACAAGATTGTGATTTCACCTGATAGCATCATAAGACCTTATTACACTGTTATCACACGATATTACAGCACGTTGCTGTTATGACCACTATTTTTATTCCGCTGACTTAGACCCCGAGCGTTCCAACACTGGAATTGTGTTGAATTGATTTACGCTATTAAAACTATAGATCACTGAAAATAACAATCTTTAAACGTCCACAGCGTTTGAAACCGTTGACTTTAAATAAGAGAAACAACAAAATGAGAGATGTATGTCCAGTGTAAATGAAGATGATTCAGATTATGAGTAATTAAAATAAATGTAATCATGTAATATAAATATAATGCATGAACTAACACATACTGTTTTTTTCAAATACCCCGATTTCTATCTCATTAAACGTTGCATAAAGGTCCTTATTTTTCTTACCTACTAGAGCACAATTTGAAGGCAAAATATCGATTTATACAATTTTACGACAACAGCAACTTTCTAGGTTGCTTGGGAGGTGGCGGGGGGGGGGGGGGTTAAATTATTGGTTCTTCTTCATTTGGACATCAGATTCTTGATCATCGATCAAAAAAACCCACTAGAGCAGATTTTCGTGGCGAGATGTAAATTTATTCAATTTTAACACAAGACCTACTTTTGGGGGTTCTTCGGGTGGTGGAGGGGGTGAAATTATCGGTTTTTTTTTCATTTGGACATTGGATTCATGATCAGTGACCAAAAAAATCTACTAGAGCAGATTTTCGTGGCAAAACATCTATTTATACAATTGTGACACGAGAGCTACTTTGGGGGGTGCTTGAGGGTGTTTAAAATTACCCCTATTGATTCATTTTTTTTTTTTTGCTAATGCAAAGGTTAGTGGGGATAAATGTTTCAGGGGGTCTAAAGAATACGTACCAATAAGAATTTTAAAAATCGGTGCTTGTCTGCAACTTTTCCACATTTTACAGTATTTTCCGGCTTATTTACTGTACTATAAGAATAAAAAAGGGATGTATATTGTAAACAAGCTCGGCTCTTAGAACTGATGGACTTTCAATGAACTCAAGTGGCCTATGTGACTTCTGGCATGACTCATCCCAAACGAAAACACAATTGGCTCTAGGTGAACAGCCAATCATATTCTTCAAGGGGTTTTTAAAAAAATAAACAACAACTTCGTTTGGGAAAATTCAAGGGCGAATTAGGGCAAACAAGTAGCCTACTTGACTTTTTGCACAACTCGCGGGCTATAAAAAGAGTTCGGAGCACCCGCAGCAAGAGAATCGAAATTGAGATTCTGTTCCAGGTGAAGCTTGTGACTTTTTATTTCGGCTCCCTCCTCAAAAATCTATGGCACGTATTTTATCTGCAGTTGCTTCGTGGTCGATGAAGGTAGTTTAAAGTAAGTAATCGTGTTCCTTAGTGTGTGACGTCATCTCCTAGGATTTATTCATTAGATATGTTATTAGAATTCCACTCACCAAATTAACGTGAAGACCAAGGCGCCCAGGGATTGACTTTGCAGTATTCGATTGACCTGGCACTCTAGTGATTGATCAGGTGACGAGCCCGTTACCCAGGAATATATAAATGATGGAGAGCGCCACCTATATCACCCATATTCTATGACTGTGAGATGGGTCATCACAGAAATACATTTTTGGTGTCAGCGGTGGAATACCTGGACGTCATTCTCAGAAAGAGAGCCAAGTATAACCAAATTATCTAGAAAGAGGCTAATCCAATTGGACATTGTGTGGTTACAAGTATATTTCAATTAATTTAGTAGTCAAATATATCACCAAACCGAAGCTAATATTCATTTGAATTCTCGCACCTACAAATGTGTATTAGCGCTCTTTATAACGTAATAAAACTAGGTAGAACTATACTTTCTCCAGTGAACAAGCCGCCTAAGTGATGCCGCCGCTGCAGATTCGGATATAAAAGACCCACCAGGGACACGGACCAATCACTCCGCTTCCGCCTTACTCCGCGGGTCCGACCCTTTACATATGAGCGTGGCTCTTTAAAGCGTCGTGTACATATGTAATGTTCAATAAATTTATATATACCTATATTCTCTTTAGACTTTGCATTGTTCTTTGTTTACTCTTAACTTTGAAAAAACATAGCAATAGGTGAGGTGGTAACAAGGCTAGTGCAGTCTCTGAGCTTTCCCTCACCATTTATCACTTTCTTGGATCACTCGGGTAAGTAGCTGATCCCTGGGGCATTGCCAACCGGGGTGAATCCTCTAAATAGGGAATTGGTGGATCGGTGTATCTTCAGGGCAATACGAACTAGAGCTATCCCGAGACATCGAGGAATTATTACGCCCAGTAGTGTCTGAAGAGAGTTAAATTTTTTTATTATTCATTAAAAGGCAGAAAATCCACCCCAAATGTCATGTACTACCTGTCAGGGGCAATACGAACCTGACTGTGTACCTTCATGCTCTCAGTAAGGTATCTCGTGCTACGGGTTGGGGGCATTGCGAATCCAGCTTCGTACCCACGAGTTCCTAGCTTCACTTCTTTTTTCTTATAAAGGTGCCTCCATACTAACCCTCATATGAGTATGAGTTATCACATCACCAAAATCTTTATCTTACTAATATATAAAGCAAAATCGCTAAAACCGTTGTAATCGCTAACCATGAAAACTACTGAACCGATTTTGCTGAAATTTTGCATACCAATTCTTGACACTTCCTAGATGGTTTTAGTATAGTTTTTTTCTTGAAAAAGTTAATAACAATAGCGATAAAGAAGCTCAAAGTTTTGTTAAAATGAGCAAGCTTTACGCTTTAGTTCAGTAGAATCCGCTGGGTGGCGTCGAGGTAAAATTGAAGCCACCCGCAATCAAAGATAGTGAAAAGTGGTTATGATATGCCCCATCGAGTTGACAGTTATCGTAGACGATCGTCGGCACCACACCAAGTACAGAGTAGTCCGTCGTGCAGCTGGGCATCCCAGCTACCAATGACACTCTTCTGTCATGGGCAAGCGAAATAAATCGGTTCTTACCCCGGAATGCCCAAATAACCGAGTGCCACACATAAATGGGCGTTTGGAACATCAACGTCTCCAGTGGAATACCAGGAAACGTTATTAGCCAGAACACAAGCTGCTCCATCCCTTCAGAGCTTTGAGGCCATTCAACCATCCGACCTGGTGCTGTCAGAGAATTTTCTACTTCAAATGCGAGCCAGGGAAGCCAGTCCTGAAGTACGGGCAGCCACAACAGCCTCCTTTTTAGTGGTCGTCCCAATGGCATACCTACAGAGGAGGTATTCTCCAGGCCCACTTTCCTGACTAACGATAAACGGTTGGTTACCTGGGGAACGACCTAAAGACGAGATATTCTTTGGTCAGCGGCGTACCAACCTCCATCACAGTCCCCGTACATAGAGACTCCCAGGGTAAGAATCAAGCTATCCATAGCCTGCTCTTCACCATCAAGAATAATAATAAAGAATAGCTGCAAGTTTCACCACTGGCCCTTTTCAGGGCCATTATAAGTATTTACGTTCCCTACTTAACCATCAATCTCATCGGTTCTTTTAAGGGCCACCAAAGTTTAAATTACCTTGCCAACAAATACATTTTTACTACGATTTCCGGAGACGATTCTTCAACTAAAAGACTATGTAAAGCCGGCCACTATTAAACCAAGTCAGTCATTCACTGACAGAAGTCACGAGCAGAGTTGTTCTTGGCAAGGCTGGGAACCCCAGTGACCGACGACCCTACATTACCCCCTCGACTTTAAGCATTCTACCAGGAATTACCTATCCCGTCAATTACCGGGTCCAACCTCAACTACAAAAGGAATGTATCACGTCAAAGCATGTTAGGCTTAATCTATTTTACTAAAAAAGTCAGTAAAAAAAAGATCTCGAGCCTCATGAAAAGAAAAATGAAAACTCAGCTAACAATAAGACAAAGGAAATAGCAGAAATAGGAAACTAGAAAATTCACTTCGACTTAGCAACAGGTACCAATTACTTATAAATTACGACGGTAAAAACATGCAGCTAGTCAACGATGAGGATGACTCTGAAGATGAAGGGGGTAGTCATGCCAAAAAACCTTCTAACCCAGAAAAAACTAAGCAGCCGAAAAATACCAAGATGCCTCCACTAGTAATTCATGCTGAAATAATAAATAGTAGCAAATTTAATAAAAGGATAAAATACATTCTAAAAGATAAATTTTTTATGAAATACAATGAAGATGATCACAAACTATTAATAAATACATGTTAAGATGAAAACTTAGAATTTCACACATACATAGAAAAACATAACAAAGATGTTATGTCATCAAAGGATTACACGCAGACACACCCATTGAAGAATTGGAAGCTGACTTGAAGGAAATGGGATTTAACGTTCTTAAGTAGGTAAACCATATGAGGAATATAGTGAGACCACTTTTCTTGGCAACTTTTGGACCTGACGATAAACTTAATGATCTCAAAGCCAAAGCACAATTTCTGTACTACACCAAAGCAGAATAGAGAAAATACCAAAATAAAAGAAGAATAACGCAATGCAACAGGTGTTAAGAATGGGGATATGCAATTGCTTCGCACAGCCAGTATGTCTGAAATGTGCACAAAACCACCTGACCAGAGAGTATAAAAAAGAAGGAAGTGAACGTGCGTCATGTGCCAACTGTGGACAAGACCACTCAGCCAACGCCACAGTACCCAAAATGTATAATAAAATAGTAGAAATGCTAACTAATAAAAACAAGTGGTCCAATGTGAAAACAAAACGACAAACCTAACAAAATCCTGGTATACCAGATCCCAAAAACTTTCCCACTATAGGACAAGGGATTTAAAAGACTGTCTGGCACAAAAATACGACATCATCGTAGACAACTGACAAAACTAACGAAAAGTCTAAACATCAACAAAATAATTAAAATAACATAAACTCAAGTGTACAATTGCCCCAACAAATAACATCGCTTTTAATACTCACCATTTTAATAAAACTTATTAATGAGATGTGTAATATTGAGCGCATGCTAAACTTAGTTAAATTATTTAGAATAGAACTACAGAAATGTCAAATGAAAACAAAGCAATCTCAAGTATTTCTCAAATTCTCTTAAAAACTTGAAATGTCATGCCTAGTCTAAAAATATGCTGCTGGAATGCAAATAGCCTAAACAGAAAATCAGGTGAGCTTATTAAATGTATCAATAGAGAAAAGATAGACATTATATTTGTTGGATTATAAGTAAATTTATATTAGATGTGTAAGTAGTGACATCTGTTATGCGGCATGCGGCATGGGCACTGTGAGTGCAATAATGTGTGTGTGTGGGTGCTCTGTATATTGCATAGTGAAGTTAGTGAAAAAGGACAGACCGAACATGGCCGTTGCCGCGCATGCACGCTCTCGTATAGTCTTTCGGAACAATGAGAGGAGATCTTGTAATCTTACTTAATCTTTATTTCTATTATTAAATATACTATCTTCAGTATTAATAAGTGTAATATTATTGATCCACTACCTTTAAGAATATTTATTTAACAATATTTATAAATGAAACAAAATTTGATAAGAACTCTAAACTTTAAGTATAAAATTATGTATGCTACAGAAAAGTTAGAAAAAAAGAGAGAGAAAAAGACAACCCAGCAGGTGGAGTAGCTATCCTTGTCAACTGATTTAGAAGTTTTGGTCATTGCGCTTCCATGTGGTATCAACCTCGTAGTAACTTATCAGAGGCCAACTATACATCTCACCATGCACAGTTGGCCCAACTTGACTTTTTTTTTCAAAATTATCTAGAGACTACAATTTTTTTTTTTTAATTTCAAGACAAGATTATTCGTAAGACATCTGTTCTCAATCCAATTCTAAGTAAGTTGAAAGAATAAGTCCCTTTTTGCGGAATAAAATCGGATAATGGTAACTTGATAATATATTTTAGAATAGCTTACGAAAAACGCATTGTAGTAATAATGAGATTCAAGATGTCAGATACAATATGGTGGACCAAAATCCGATGATGTGCCCAAATCTTGATATAAATTAATATTTGGGGAGTTTCTGAGGTCACTAATTACGAATCTAGGATTACAATCTGAAAATTTAAGATGGCGGATCCAATATGGTGAACCAAAATCTGATAAAGTGCCCAAATCTGGACAAAAATTCATACACGTCTTCGACGTCACTTATTACGAATCCATGATAAATTTTCAAATTTAATATGGCTCATGTAATATAGCAGACATCTACAGACTTACTGCACGTCAGAATTAACTGGCATAACCTTAAAATAAATAAAAACGAGATAATTTTCTTTATTGTAGCTGACCAATAGTAAGAAATTTTTTATTTTTGCTTTACTCCATTAAATTATATATATTAAAAAAAAGTTAGAAATTGATCTTGACCGAGACTTGATGATACATTATAAAATAGTTTGAAATTGACAATTATGCTGATGTCATTCTAGAAATGTAGTTTCATAATTCTGGAGAGTAAAGGATGTATTATTAAGCTTGAGTTATAGTGAAACACTCTGCTGAGAGTATTGAGAAAAGATTGTTCAAGCTAAAACTGCGGTAAAAATTGGTTTTAGAGCAGTAAAAGGTAGCCCCAAGGTAGAGCGTAGTTTTAACTTTACTGCTTTCTATGAACACCGAAGGAGTTGCGAGACTCAATATAATCCAGGATGAGTTAATTGGGATTTGTGTGAACTTTAGCTTAGTAACCTAGGTTTTTATTCATTGGTAATGATGAGCTAATTGTGCAAAGGATGTAATTATAAATACCAAAATCGTTACTGGAGAGTATGGACATGTATGAATTTAGAAGAACTATTATATTTTTGCAGATAAGTTTTTTAGACTTTAAATTGTACTCGACAAGCTCGAAAAATTGAAGTACAGTTTGTGTAAGGTAGCAGTTACAAAGGAAATTGGCTCTGTGTTGAATCTACATAATTTTTGATTCTGAGAGGATTATATTGGTTGCAGTACTTTGCCTATAATCAAAAGCATATTTTATCGCCGCATTTTTTATGATTTCCAGTTTTTGTTAGAGTTTAACCAGGTTAAAAGAGTCACTGAAGAGGAGCCCCACTAGGTTTCTCGAAGGAATTCGATCACATTAAGTGTGAACACACATCGCTTGTAGATGCTAAGCATGTAAGGTTCAAATATTCAAATGTTCGAGATGGAGGGTACGTATAATAAGTAAAGCAATGGGCCCAACACAACTCCCTAAGGAACTCCTTTGCCAGTCGTACGGAAAATCTGAGAGTAGGTACTAGTAAAAATAAAACGTTCTCTAACGACATGGTTATAAACTTAATGAGTTGAAGAGAGCATCTTTGATTGGCAAAAAGAAGGTCGATATTCACGTTACTGATAGCGCTTTTGATGTCTAAGAAGGCAACGTAGACTTCATGACCTTTTTTAAAAGCCATTTTAGTTATCTTTATTGACTATATTATCGGTGCAAGAGTTTTCCTTCGTAAAACCGTGTTGGTTTGCATAAAACCAGCCATTTAATTCTGCCCACCACTGCAATCTATTTTTAACCATGGTTTCTAGGAGCTTGCATAAACTTAAAATAATATAGAATACATAAAGATTTGGAGGAAATGAATTTCAAATTGCTAGAAGAATTTAAATATGTTCAACGCAATATGAAACCCATAGTTCTTCAAGGAATGAGCGTAGATACAACCGTGGGAGAAGTCTAAGAAGAACTTATGAAGCTAGATCAAGTAAAAATTTTAAAGATTAAAACACTTCCAACTAAAGTAACAAAACTGTTCTTAGTTTAACTCAGTGCAAAAATTGAAATGGACAGTCTAATTTGCATTAAGAAAATTCTTTTTCAAGTGATCAGATGGAAACCTCTCAGAAAAAACAGCTTACCCGAGTATAAAAATTGCCTATGATTGGGCCATTTTAAATGTGTCAAATGCTCGGAAGATCACGGACATATCAAGTGTACATTAAATAATGACTCACAAAAATAGACCCTTGAATGTGCGAACTGTGGTTCTACTGGTTATCCAGCTACATTTAGAGGATACACCAAATCCACTAAATTCAATAATATCGAAAAAATAACTTGCAGAACTTCAACCAGCCACACCTGCTTTATTTTAGACAGTGACTGGCTGAAATAGTTTTCCTATCAAAGCCATCAAAGATCCCTCCAAACAGAAGTGTACCAAATAATGTATTAATTTTTTTTTCAAGTTAACGTGAGCTCTTTAGTAAGTAATCCAAAAAGATTAGAACTAAATAATTGTGCTCTGTATATTGCATAGTGAAGTTAGTGAAAAAGGACAGACCGAACATGGCCGTTGCCGCGCATGCACGCTCTCGTATAGTCTTTCGGAAC